TCCAATATTGTTTGGTTAGGGCAGTGGTAGTCAACCTGGTCCCTACCGCCTACTAGGGGACCCAGATTGTTGGGGGCAATATGCTGACTCTCTGTAAACCGCTTAGAGAGACCTGAAGGCCTATGAAGCGGTATATAAGTCTACTGCTATTGCTATTGCTATTGCTATTGCCTGTTAAGATTGGAATGTCCATATGATATTTTTATAGCATTTACACATCAAATTACCCTTCCCTTCTCAAGTATGCATGAATGTTCTTTTAATGTACAATAGTTCTGAGATTTGCATGAGCCTTGTTTGAAGGAGGATTTTTAACAATAGTCCTCAAGGCTTTGAAGTAAACATGTAATATATATGTCCCCCCCTAAAAATATAGGATTTTTAAAAAACATATGCAGTAAAGTCCTTCTCAGATTGATATCCTTGTTGTTTTCTTCATAGTATGGCAGTGGCTTGCCACAGTAATCTCCTGGGACCTTTAATTCCAAATGTCCAAATTTTGCTTAAACATCTCTTTAAATTGGACACTATTCATATATTCTACCATATTCCTGACAGTACCTTTCTTCCATTGTTCAAGTCAGTTGAGAAGAATTTTGTAAATTCTGCTGGCCACATGCTACTAGATTTGCCCTAGTTAGAATTGGAAGTTCTAAGTTCCTTTTAGAAACCTTTTATAATAATTGTTGATTTTCACTGGTGGAAATCCTTTTAAAATAAAGAAGAACTGTGTAAGATTGATTCTTGTTACTCTGGTTATGAAGGCAAAGCAGGAGATATCTACAGATTATGGCAGCTAAGAAGCACAGATAACTTTTCCCCTAGCCTCATAGCAAAAGGTGACAAATCAGGTTGAAACTTGTTAAGATCCTCCTCCATCAATATTCCTGAAGTAACTTCATTCTTCTGCAGACATTCTTGCCCTAAGGCAACTATCTGTCAGTTATAAGCCCATATAGTTTTGTAGATCTTGTGCTTTATCATCCTAAGAATGGAAGGCCTTGACTTAGAAGAAGACAATGTGTATACAATAGAGCTGTATGTAGTAGTGATGGGTTGCAGGTGGTACGCCCCGGTATGGGTGTACCGGAGCCTGCCTGGAGCACCAGGTACTGTTCCAGTATGGTGCTCCGGAGGGCCCGCCCACCCACCCACGCTCCTTACCTGTCTTTAAAGTCTTTGGCGCTTCCACACATGTGCACGGCGCGTACAGTGACTGTGCAATGCTCCGCCGAGCAGCTGGAGCGTCGCGGAGGCTCACGGAAGCGTCGCTGGATGGTAAGACGCATGCACGCACTGCACACGTTCATGTGGAGGATGCTGGGCCCTGTTGCAACCGTACTGGTTGCAACAGGATCCAGAACCTACCACTAGTATGTAGTAATGCTTTTATGTACAACTATCTGCACGAAGCTGTTATCATTTGAGTAATGTGGAGAGAGCATTTTAACTTCAGTAACATCCAAGCAGAGTTTATTTTAGTTGTATATTATGATACTACATATGCACAGTACAATTTATAATATTTAGCAAATGTGAGCTATTCACCTAAAAATCTTGCCAAACTTTGTAGTTTGGGATTTTGTAGTTTATCACATATTGCAGCAAAAAGCTTAGAAATGAGAGCACTTAAATATATCTGCCATCTATCGAATTAATTAGAATGTGAGATTCAACCCATGGAATTAGTTTCACTAATATATAATATATAATCATAACAAATATCATTTCCTTAATTTAGAGGAGTTATTGGAAATTGCATTTTGTAGTTAGTGCTGTGTGTATTAATTTTTGAGGCTCCTTATTTCGGTTCCTTCAACTAATACACACTTTTCTCCTTCCCACACCCCATGCTTTCCCTCTATTTCTAGCACCTGTGGAATTATATGGGTGAATACAAAGTTTTTTGACCTTAGAATATAAACAGGAGTGTTACCTGTTACTTACATTTCACAGAGAGGGAAAGCTAGAAAGCTTCATTTAAAAAATCCTATGTACAACCAAAATCTGATTCCTTATCACTTAGAAATTTGCTTTTTCTTTCCTATTTAGAATACTGAGAATACCAAGAAGAAAACGATTATGTATGCATGTATGTAGAGAGAGAGGTAGAGTCCTTGCTTAGCAACCTCCCTTTCACTGACCATTCAAAATTGTGATGTGCTGAACGAGTGGTATTTATGACCAGTCCTTGGAGTTCTGGCTGTCTCAGCATCTCTCTGGTCACGTGTTTTTCATTTTCAGCCTTCATTGCCCACTTCCAACAAAGTCCATCGGGAAAGAGGTTGCAAATGGCAACAATATTGATATCCTTGCTTAATGAACTGTAATGATTTGCTTAATGGTGGCAAACGGGATATCTGGAATGGCCTAAGCTAAGGCACGATTATGTGATATCATAGTTTACAACCATGTTGCTTAATGATGGCAACTGGTCTCAATTGCTGTTGTTAATTGAGGACTATCTTTAGCTCAAAGTATGTCCTATCCGAATTCTTTGTCCATTTTGCTTATAGTTGTATGGATTTGTTTCTTTTTTCCTCTTCTCCAGAAATTTAAAGAGTATTTGAATGGCAGTAATCTTATTACTAAGCTACAAGCTAAGCATGACTTACTGAAGCAGACTCTAGGAGAAGGTAAGTTACAGGCATATTTAACCATTGCATTTCTTGCCACTATAGGTTTCAACCTACAGCATAGATTTCTTAAATGTCACCTGCTTTGGTTCTTTCTCTTGCATCTGCTGTTGTAACCAGAAGTATTATCTGGTTGTTGTTAAATGCAAAACAGCTCATTTTCCTTCTTTGTTCCTCATGCTGCAATTTGCCAATGTTCTCCAGGCTTTTCCAATGCCAGGGGTCAACATGTGGTACTAAAAAGCAATTCCAGTATCCCATGATGCCAACTGCCTGGATTCCTGCCAGGGTGGGTATCCCAGAATGGTTAGTCTGGATTTGGGGAAAGAGAGCACCAGGTAAGGACAGGGTGAAAATAAGACCAGCGAAGCACACAATTATCAGGGAACAGCAATGGAAATTGAAAGAAGTGAGGAAACAGTCTGGGACTCCCTCCTGTCTTCTCCACAACACAAAAGTAGCTTGTCTCTGCTTTGTTTGTACCTCAAGACTGTTTTGGTACTTAAATATGGGGCCAGGGATTGGGATGATACTAGTCCAGAATGGAGTAACATAAAAATCTTATTAATAATATAAATGCCTGACTAAATGTGCCCACCAAATATGTTTGTCCTGGTACCTGGAATATTTAAAATATAGGCTATATTCATGAATCAATGCTGATACTGGTTGTTACCTAGTTTAGATAACTGGGTATTATCAAATAACTATAAAGAATCTTATAGAACAAGGGTCCTCAATCCCCAGGCTGTGGCCCACTACCAGGCCACAGTCCATCCAGAACTGGGCCACACAAGCCCACCTCTTGAGCAAATGGAGCTGTGCACACTCACACCTGCTGCCCTCATGGAACCATTCTCTCCCACCCTCGCAGGACTGCCAAGCTGGAAAAGTTGGGGACTTTATTTATTTTTGCTCATTGGAAAAACTCAGGCCTTGCTAATATATTCTTTTAAAACACATTCACTATGTTTTTAACAATTAGCCATTTTATCTGGAACTAAAGTTTGTCAAATACAAACACTGAGCTTAAAAAGTGTATCAATGTTTTTTGAAGGATATTTCAAAGTTTTGAAAGTAATGGTCTGAAGGAGATTTTAAAGTTTTGAAAATAATAGTCAACAGCAGCACCAGGAGGGATAATATACTGATGCATGGGAAGAGTAGTCTAAGGCAGTAGTTATTTTCCGGAGTCAAGCAGTAAAAATGAAAGGCAGTAAAAATGGATGCTACTAAGTATAGAATTTTGAGCTGTTTCAGTGTTTTAATAGTGTTATATGTACATTGGCACTGAAAATGGTGTATTATTTGCAAGTGGGTTACTTCTGTCACTCTGCTTGAAAGCTGTCAAGGAGAATTGAAAAATTAATGCAGAGGCCCTTTCATCGCTGAAGATTTATGCTTAAGGGAAAATCTTTAGACAAGTTGGTGGAACTGACTATGAAACTACAATGACCTTCTTCATCTCTGCATATATTCCAGAAAAACTAATTTACTTCACTCTAGTTATGCTTTTTTCCCACAGGAGTTGGCTTTTGAGGGAATGTTTGATTATAGGACAAATTGTAGGCATATATTTGTCCAGAAAAATCAGTGGTTCATCATTGGGATAGGGGATTCAGTAGCTTTGATTTTCTTCATTCAAATAATGATTAATGAGACTTAATGTTATATGGCACATGTGTTTGTAAGCGATCCCTTCATCTGTTTACCCATTTCTTTAATCTTTAATTCCTTATTGTTCTTAACCTACCTTTCCCCAAACAGAGAATCTGCTTCTTTATAAGTTTGCCTAAATTATAAGCGGTACAGAATAACAGAGTTGGAAGGGATCTTTAAACAAATAAAGATTGGTTGCTATTAAGCGATCTTAAATACCAGACATTTAGTAGTGTTAATAACAGAATAACAGAGTTGAAAGGGATCGTGGAGGTTTTCTAGTCCAACCCTCTGCTCAGGCAGGAAACTACACCATTTTAGACAAATGTTTGTTCAATCTCTTCTTAAAAACTTCCAGTGTTGCAGCATTTACAACTTTTGGAGTCAAGTTGTTCCACTGATTGGGACTGGAATTTTGGTTGCTAAGCGAGTTATCAGGTGACCAAGTCCAATTTTACAACCATTTGTTTACATTAATGAATCATGCTCCCCACATTGATTTTGCTTGTCTGAAATCAACTGGGAAGGTTGCAAATCATGATATAATAATCTTAAGATGCTGTAAGTGTCATAAATGTGAGCTAGTTGCCTAGCTCTCAAATTGTGACCACAAAATCTTGGGGGAAGTGTGAGAGTCATTACTTTGAGAAAGGGTCAAGTTGTATTTTCTGAACACATTGTAACTGTGAACCTTTGTTAAATGAACAATCAAAAGTTGAGCACCATCTATGTACCCCTGTCATCATCATCATATAATTCTATGTCTTAACTCATAATTAGAGCTTGATTGTTGTTACTTAGATTTTTTCCTTAACCTCAACTCCATCTCAAAGAGTCAAATATGGGCAACAATAGCAACTTGTTAATGCTTTCAGTTCTGTCTTTGAAATTTCGTTCTTTGCCATTGAAGTTGGTAATTTCCAGAAAGGTACAGCCTTAAGAGATCAAGGATTGCTACTTGCATATCCAGTTTCATGTGATTAAGCCTGTGTCTTGTAGCAGCAATAGTGAGGATTTCATTAGCAATAGCAGTAGACTTATATACCGCTTCATAGGCCTTTCAAGCCTCTCTAAGCGGTTTACAGAGAGTCAGCATATTGCCCCCAACAATCTGG